TTAAATCCCAACCCAAGTATACAACTGCAAGACTTGAAGATATTGTAAATTCATACTGCGTAGATCGGAACAAAAATTAATAATTTTAATCTGGAGGTAGCCGTGCTTAACTATGGGGAGTTCATAGTTAACATTGCGACTTCAAACACTTTATTCCCCCCGTGATCATGAGTGCTGTAAAGTGCTCGAAGCCTCGGGAATATAAAATAAGTTAATATACGCGATAAAATCCGTAAAACCAGTTTTATTTAAATGTGTAGTGCTCGCGTAAATATGAGTAATCATTAATTTACTTTTAACAAAAAAATGATGTATTTCATGGTCTTCTATCAATTTACGGTATAATTTTTATTTGAGATATTTTATTCATATCATTTGTCCTATTTAATATTGACTGGAACCATAAAATAGATGTAGATATTTTTTTAACGATCAAATAGACTTCAGGATTTCATAAATGCAGTTCTGTAATAATGTATACTACACATGGAATAAAGCCAATGTTACGGATAGTATGAGGCTAAATTTTAATTATTAGACATCTTTGGATGAAAGTTCCATAAAACCCGCGTAAAAGGACATATCGTTGATGTGAAGTACCGACGGTCCGGGAAATCTTAAGTATGTTAACATGTTTAGTATCGTCCCAACAATTAGACATACAAATATATACAACAAATCCTTGCAATAGAACACCGATTCCTACCAATGATGATTCGTGAGGCTATTTAAATAAAAAAAACATCCTAATTTTAATAGGGAAGATGGCTGAGTGCTACCATCTGCTAAGGACACCATAATTAATAAAATTGAATTCAAACCCAAGCACATTACTCCAATTATTCTATTTTATTATATTCTTGCCCTATTCTATTCTAACTGTGACATCAGCTCGTCAAACACCTCAGTGCTCCCGTGACCATGGGTGCTGTAAAGTGCCCAAAACATTGGGAATTAAAAAATTTAAAATTAAACGCGGTAAAATCCTTAAAATTAGTTTTATTACTTATACATTTTATTCACAGTGAACATGAGAAGCACAACACTCATGAACGAGAGTAGAAAAATGTTCACCCTATTGTGGCGGAGAAAGAGAATCCGTCACTTAATATCGTCCCGTCGTAAGAGGCGATATAGGAAAACAAACAGGAGATGAGCAGCATCATCTTCATGACAACGGATCAAAATAATAATAGGTGCGGTTGCCAACCCACTTATCCAGCAACATAACAATTTATGGGGGAAGCCTATTTTCATTCCAGCGGACTTTTGATAGGCTGACGGTAATGAGTTCTACTCATCTTTGCAACCCTTATTATTTACGGTAGGGTGAAAAGAAAAAGGTAACATACCCGAAAATATGAATGAAAAAAAAAACTGCATATATCGGTCCATGAAAAGTAAAAAAGTAGCAGCTTACATATTACTACTGGGCACAGGCCGTAGAGAGTATTTGGCCAAAAAAGTGTTTGCTGCGCTGATTCCAACGCGGGATGCGCCATGATGAAATCTCACGGCGAGCTACACGGCCCTCGTATTTGTTTAAATACCACCACATCTACCTAGTATTTACACATCCAACGATGCCACGAACGAATTTTCAATTATTTACATAGTACGAGTATATTCAGTAGCATTCTATTATTTAATTATATCAATGACTTAACATTTTAGTTTATTTAGAAGTAAGTAGATGGCGCTATTATTGGATGAAGTAATGAAAGTCAAAATTATACTATCTAGCAGTAACAGCGATAGAAGCAAACATTTTTTTATTATATCAATATGGCATAAAGTGATGTAGATTCTGTTAAAATTTCTTTCTGTTAAAAAATACGCTATCAGCGCCGCTAGCGGTCAAAAACGATTTAATGATATCGTCATATGACCATATCATGAAATAGCAAAGTTGTGTTTAGTTATAAATATCTTCAAACGATTTCTATTCATTGATTTGGTCAAGCTATATCATGACATGGTCAACAAACAGTATTAAATATCATGAAATGACCCCACCATTTCACGAAATTTATTTATTTATTTATTTAACAAACACCAGATAATACAGAGAATATATTATGGTACAACATAAGCTTAATGAAGACTTTACCGTGTACCACAAGCCGCCGACTTAAAATTTGTACAGATAAGCTACACCTTAATCTATAAAATATGTATAACGCAACACTATTAAACAGTAATTGGCACAGTCAACAGGCGGTAAATTGGCAAAACGTAATTAACTAATAGTGCATTAAAAGACGTGAGTCCTGCCACCGCCAACTTCGCCGCGTCAAAAACCGGTCGTTCTGCGTCGCGTATACAGGAGCTGATAAAATATATTGATAATAATTGTGATAATATTTAATAGTAGATGAGTATGATAATTATTATTTGTTTATATGTCATATAGGTTTATTTATGTAGGGCATATAGTTAGTGGGGATTATAGCTTTTTTTATTTAATTTGAAGTTTGCTATAGACAGTTCGTATAATAGTTTTTTTAATTTGTATTTAATATTTTTATGATTAATTTCATTTTGAAAAGAGGTAGGTAACTGATTAATCAAATTTGGAACCATGTATTCTAAAGTACGTTTTCCGTATAAATTTTTATAATTAGGTTTAGCTAATTTTGGTTTGGCCGAACTGCGGGTTTTAGAATAGTTATAGATGGCATATTTTTTTAAATCTTCGTTAAAAATTCTTCCCTTAAAAGAGTATATTCTGCTTTTTTATGCACCGGTATAATTTTGCAGTAATTGAATAGGTAATGGTAATTAGAATCGCTGAGTATATTTTTAACCTTGTCTGGAACTATAGTTTTTAAGATGCGTAATTGCAATGAATAAATTTTATCTAAATGTGATTTGTAAGTTTGTCCATAACTAGACAAGCCCTATGAAATTTTAGATTCGGCCTTATACGGCTCTGTGCTGTGCCTAATGAAGAGTTACCATAATAACTAATGGCATCTCTCACTTTTATCGCATATTTCCTGTCATTAAGGTAATCTCTGCACCATGACAATAATGGCCCTCTAATACCACTATCATTAAGACTGTCTATTAGATTATTATGATCAAGAGTATCAAACGCTTTAGTGTAGTCTACAAAGACTACCAAGACGTGTCTCTAGTTGTCTAATTGCTTGTAAACGCTGGTAGTGAAGGTCGATAACAGTTGGGTGGTATTTTTCTGTGGTTGAAAAACATATTGTTTTCAGTTATTATATTATTTTTAGCATAGAAATCATGAACCTGTCTGCTAATGTATTTTTCAGCAATTTTATCTATTACGAGTAAAATAGTAATTGGCCTATAATTGTCATGCACTTTATGGCTACCCTTCTTATGGATAGGTAAACTATGCCAGTTTTTTAAATATGGGGATACTTTCCACTTTTTATAAAGGCATTAATGAGATTTTCAATTACGTCACTGACTAATGTGCATATTTTTTTATGTCTATAGGTCTTATCCTGTCAATACCTGGCGCTTTATTACTGTTTAGGTTGCGTACTATTTTTTCTACTGCATTAGCATTAGCAGGCACAAAGCGTAAGGAGACATTTGCGTTGTTACTATACAATGACTTATCTAATAAAGGTATATTACAATTAGGGATTGATTTTTTGACGCTTTAATTGAAAGTATCAGCAAATGAACATGCAATCTTATACGGAGGGTTACTACTGTTACCAACGTTATTGAGCAATACATCATCAATCGATTTTGTAATTCGCCCCGTTAATTTATTTAATATCTGCCATAGGGTTCTAGAATTTTGTTTGTTCTTATTAATTTCTAATTTAAGCTACTTATTTTTACTTTTTCGAATTAATGTGTTTGCATAATTTCGTGCCTTGTTGTAAGCTTGCTTTAAAAGCATATTTCTATAGTCTTTTGTCCACTGATTAAATAATTTGTCCCTGTTTTGGAGTATTTTGAAAATTTTTTTGCTAACCCATTCATTACCAGTACGTTTTGGTTTAAGGATACTTTTAGACCCCTACCTACATTCCGTACAACACTTATTAAAATGTTCATATAGAAAATTGTAAATTTTATACGGACAAGAAAATTCCCTCGATTTTTCCCATTCTATTTTGCTAAGCGATTGAATAAGTGCAACATTATTTATACAAGTTCTAATTTTTGGAACCACCTGTATACTCAACCCAACGCAGGCTAACACTATAACTCGGTGATCCGCCAGTGTTGTATCAATCGCTGCCGTGTAAAGGTGTTGTGTATGGGATCTACCATAAATATGGTCAATGCAGGACTTGTTTAACTTACCAGCTGATATTTCTATACGAGTGTTGTCGGTGATCCTACGCACAAGACCCATACAGTGCAACGTGTTATTTTACCTATTTATTAGAGGTTTATCCGAGTTAAGGTCAGTGTTAATGTCTCCTATTAAAAACAACTCACCATTGGAGCAGTGTCTACGTAATGTTCTATCTAGTTCACTAATGTATAAGTGTTTACTATTCTTCGGTGTGCGGTACACGGCACATATGTCTGCGGAATAACCCAAATGGGAGGTGATTGTGCATAAAATACTTTCAAAATGTTCCGTAGTGATTTTTTTAGTTGTGATCTGATGTTTGTTGTGTATGTAAAGTACAATGCCGCCTCCCCTTCGGGTTTCCCGCAGAGAAGTTAACATTTTATATCCAGGGATGTGAAATAGGCATATAATCCATTCCTTTATATTAACCTCGGTCACAACAATGACATCGAAACAAATTGGAAGTTAAGACAATTTTTTCAACCGAGACAAAGCTTTTTATCAAATAATATTTACGTGCATGCATAATAAATTGATATTGCTTGGTATTTTCTTTAAGAAGCTGTTAATATTTATACAGTCTATACTTTCCGTAATTTCATCATTTAACTCTTCCATCATATTAAAAGGATCTGTGTTGCTTAGATAAAATTTGTTAGCGAAATGGCAGAAAGGCAAACTAAAAATATGGGACAAGCAACTACAGCTTCTGATTAGCTAATACATGCACATCGTTTACGGTTCTAAGATAATGTATTTTGTCCTTATCATCCTTACGTGCTTTAACAAAGTCTTTTTTGAACCACACATATTTATAATTCAGCTTTATTATAAGTTCTTGCTTGGCAAGCCACAGTATTTGTTTGTTTAGTTTAGTCATGGTTTCTCTAATGTATACAGGATTAATGTTACCAGGTTCATGCGGGTGGATGTCTGCAATGGTGACGGATGCTGTTTTTGCTGCTGCTAGCCATTTGTTCTGAATATTCTCTTTTTTGAGCTCCACAATTAGGTTACCTTCACGATCTCCTCTTCCTTTCAACATGCGTGAATTCTTGATGCCGGTTGTAGAAAGACTTAATTTTTGAGCTAGGTTTTCAACTATTATTATTTAGTACATTCTCATCGTCGTGGCAGGGCACGTTAGCAATTTCTATAAAACTTGAAAACTTTTCTTGCTCCAAAGCTTGGACTTGTTGCTCTAAGGCGCCTATTCTAATTTCTAGGTTATTATTTTTTCTAGTAAGTTCGGCGTTCTTTTTTTCAAGATTTTTGATAGTCTGTTTAAATGTTTCCATACATTGCATTACCTCGTCTAGTTTTTTAGTGTGAAATTTAAGGAAATCATCTATCTGCGTCATTTCTTTCTTGATGATTTTTTCCACTTTTTTTGAGATGTCTTTTAGCAGCTTTTTAGCATCAGTTATAGCTGCGCTCTTCTGGACGTCTTCTTCCTCCTCATCATCATCTTCTGGAATCTCGATAGAAGAGTTACGCATCGATGACTCCTGTATGCAGTCCGGACAAGTCCATCCTAGTCCGGGTGATGCAGCTTTTAGGGCGGCGAGCTGTTTGTTGCTTAATCCGGTAGATTTAGTACTAAGGTGCACCAAACGCTCGAATTTATTACACTCTACTATAGGGGAACTTTTAGTGATTGATTTGTTACAGTTATCACATTTGGTCAACATCGTAGGTAGTTTTGAAAAAGTAAGCGATTCTAGCACAGGTGTAGCACTAATGTCGTTTCAACCATGAATAACTTAGCCTTCCACTTTGTATATTAATGTAAATAATAAAATAGATTTAAAACTAAAATTAAAAATTGTGGTAATATAATATACGTATAATTGACAGTTGCCAAGCGACGACAATTCAAGATAGATTATTTTATGATATATGATCAATTCTACGATCTGGCCACGACATATTATCTCTTTCATAAAACTGTAATGATAATAAAAATTTTGGAATAATTGCAGACTGACCAGTTTTATTTAGTTTACATAATATAGATTAGTAATTGAAATAAAAACCTTATCAATTTTCATATTTCTGATAGACGTCACTATTATCTATTGAATTTATTAGACTTTTAAAATGAAATAAGAATAATACTAAAATAATAAACGTAAGAGTTTTTAAATAATTGTAAATATCTAATTATTTAAACATGTAAATATAAGTAATTTATATTATTTAATTTGATAGTAACTGAACGCAAAATATACTACTTTTGCCATTTGATGATCGATGGCGTGTTTTGATAAATAAAGCGGTGTAGTTACAAATTATTTTACCAAGATTATTACCATATTTTAAACTTTATTTATAAATATGGTAATATGGTATTTATTTTAAAAACACGTCCTTACGCCTATGACTAAGAAATAATAGAAAATAAACATCTAAAGGAAGAAAAATACTTAACCTTATTTTTTTGAACTTCGAGTAAATGATTAAACTTAATCGATTAATATGTAGCCTGTAAGTTGCCCCGGATTACTAACTACAAAATTCCATGTATATCGGTCCAGTGATTTTTCGTGAATCTGGAATACACAGACAGACAGACAGACGGACAAAAAATTTAATATATAGCTCAAATTTATTCGTGTAATGTTAATTTTTGGTGTTATTAAAATACAAAACTGTTTTAAAGGAAATATTTTTTTTTAAATTATAATACCTCTAAAAAGCGATACATTGGGTTAATTGAAGGTCAATTGTTCTGACGACCAATTGAGGATATATAAATGCCAAAGCTCATTTTTATATCAATTGATGGTGATGAGAAGCTGCATTATAATATAAATATAACGGACTATAATATTTAATATAACGAATTTCCGCGAAATAACGCCTGATTGTATTACGATTACGAGCGATCCGACCCGACATCGCACGGGTGATTTTTGGATCTCGACAACATCGCCACCTACCGGGTCCCACGGGTGTGCGTTCTTAAATAGTCATAATTTCGCGTTGAACAATAAGACTGTTATGATATCAGGAAACATAGAAGAGTCCATTCACTTTTAGATCTGCATCTTCATCTTCACCAAGAAGCCCACAGCAGAACGCGGGCCTTTTATTTGATAGGGAAGAGATTCCGTTATTGTTATGCTTAGCAGTTGGATTGACAATCGAAATTTCAGACATCTCGTACCCTTAACGCTTCGTCCCGTTACAGATTTGGATATTTTATATCTAACGTGCAATGAAGTGGACGATATGAATGACAAGCTCGTGGAAACTGTCCATGCGGTTGGAGCTAAGTTCTGCAAGACCCGCCGCAGAAGAACACAAAAACTCTCCGATCACACTCTTAATCTCATAGCTGTTAGACGGGAGATGAAGCTACATTCTTCAACAGACTTGACAGCATACAGGCATCTGAACAGACAGATCTCCAAATGCATGCGGCGGGACTTACGCAACTTCAATACAGCTCGTATTGAAGAAGCGATCGAGCGGAACCAAGGCTCCAAAGTCTTTGCCAGAGATCTGTCTGCCAGAAAGAGCCAACTGTCAAAGCTGAAGACAGAATGTGGCAGCATCGTTTCCGGTACACCTGAGATTTTGAGTGAGATTGAGAGGTTCTATGGGCAGTTATACACGTCATCGTTGGAGCCACACGCAAGTGTGAGTAACGATCCAAGAGCGAGTCTCATCCGACACTATTCCGAAGATATCCCGGACGTCAGTCTGAGCGAGATTAGAATGGCTCTCCAGCACCTTAAAAACGGTAAGGCCCCAGGCGAGGATGGAATTACAGCGGAGCTTCTGAAAGCGGGTGGAAGACCGGTACTTGAAGTCCTTCAGAAGCTCTTTAATTCCGTCCTCCATGGTGGCATTACACCGGAGGCGTGGAGCAGAAGTGCGGTGGTCTTGTTCTTCAAGAAAGGTGACAAAGCTCTCTTGAAAAACTACAGACCGATTTCCCTTCTGAGCCGCGTCTACGTGCTGTTTTCGAGAGTCATTACGAATGGTCTCGCGCGCAGACTTGACGACTTCCAGCCTCCCCAACAAGCCGGTTTCCGAAAGGGCTTTAGCACCATAGACCACATACATACCCTTCGGCAAATTGTACATAAGTCCGAAGAGTACAATATGCCACTATGTCTAGCGTATGTGGACTATGAAAAAGCCTTTGATTCCGTCAAAATTTGGGCGGTGCTGCAGTCCCTTCAGCGGTGCCAAGTTGACTGTCGGTATATCGAAGTGTTGAAGTGCTTGTACAGTAGGGCTACGATGGCTATCCGAGTACAGAACCAGAGTACGAAACCTATCCAATTGCAGAGAGGTGTAAGACAGGGTGACGTCATATCCCCGAAACTCTTCACCGCTGCATTGGAAGACGTTTTCAAGCTTCTGGACTGGAAAGGATACGGTATCAACATCAATGGCGGGTACATCACTCACCTTCGATTATTATTTGCCGACGATATAGTCCTTATGGCAGAATCACTGGAGGACCTAAGCACTATGCTCAATGACCTCAATAGTGTTTCCCAACGGATAGGTCTTAAGATGAACATAGACAAAACAAAGATCATGTTTAATGTCCATGTCACACCTATGCCGGTAGTTGTTGGGAGCACTAAGCTCGAAGTTGTTGACGAGTATGTTTACCTGGGACAAATAGTCCGACTAGGTAAGTCCAACTTCGACCGAGAGGTCAATCGACGGATTCAACTCGGCTGGGCAGCGTTCGGGAAGCTACGACACATCTTCTCGTCAGACATACCTCAAAACCTTAAAACGAAATTGTACAACCAGTGCGTGTTGCCAGTGATTACTTACGGAACTGAGACGTGGTCCTTCACTGCTGGCCGTATGAGGAAGCTCAAGGTCGCTCAGCGAGCTATGGAGAGGGCTATGCTCGGAGTTTCTCTGCGTGATAAACTTAGGAATGAGGATATCCGCAGTAGAACCAGAGTAACCGACATAGCCGAACGGCTTAGTAAGCTGAAGTGGCAGTGGGCCGGCCATATAGCTCGAAGAACCGACAACCGATGGGGAAGAAAGGTTCTCGAGTGGCAGCCTCGTACCGGTTGGCGAAGTGTAGGGCGTCCTCCCACGAGATGGAGTGACGACCTGGTAAGACATGCAGGAAGTCGATGGATGCAGGAGGCTCAGGACCGTGCTTTGTGGCATTCTTTGGGGGAGGCCTATGTTCAGCAGTGGACTTGTGAAGGGCTGTAATGAATGATGAAAAAATATCTAACGTAATCAATATATTAGAATAGAATAGATAACAGGTGTCTGGATTTTCCTATAGCTGTCCCTTACGAAATCCAAGGGACAAAGTCGACGATGAATTCTCTTACCCCGCTTTACAGCAAAAATATAATTAATAAACTTTTGAATCGAAACTTATAATTTTTATAGTTTTATATATTTCTCACGTAACATTCTCGAAAAATGAATGAATCAAAATGATTAACTAGATAACATATCTACCACTTTAGTTCTTTTTACTAAATAATTTTTAATTATATATGTAAAGTATCACACACGTAGAAACTGGTCTGCTAAATTGTTTAACAAATTATCTCATGTGTAACAATTTATATTAATTGAGTTCATTGCATTTTATAATAATTTGATTTGTTAAAAGAAATGGAACGAGAAAATCGAACAGGGAAATAAAGACGACCAAACAATTATACATCTGATACGGAAAATAACTGAACGGATATTTAAAGACGATGCTTCTAGGGAATATTAATGACTTTAATTTGGCAATTCTGTTAAAATTTAGAGACGTTTAATATTAGAAAATTTTGTTGTATATTGTACAAAGTCTTTAATTTAAGGCCTTACTCATAAAATTTTAGCAATGAAATCAGTCATTATAGCCCCATAAGTCTAGTTTTAATATGGAACAAAATCTGAATTTGATAGGTGTTTGTTTACTTGTCCCTAAAATTTCTTACTTATTATCCGTCTTTTGCGTTTTGACACTTTTTAACCCATTATTCTCATAACCCAGTCTCAAAATGCATGTTATATTATTGTTGCAGCAGGAACGTTTCAGCT